GATATCAACATTCATGTTTTGGTGTTGACAAGTTTTCATTTCCGTTTGGTGTATACCTAGGAGTGGAATTCCTGGGTCATATGGTCATGTTAATATTTTTAAGAGAGATTTTTGTTATAGGGCGCATGCACTCACCAAGAGACATAAAGCAAGAAATCCCCCCCCCCCAGGGTGGATGGACACACCACAATCCCTCTATTCATACCAATTCCTATGAGTGTGCTGTATTACCATACACAAGTTAAGAAATTAAACCATCAAATATGAAGGAACATTCAACATCAGAAGCTATAAAATCTAACTGTATGTAGTAACCCCTCAAAAAGCTACAACCTGCATTCTTAAAAAAGTATTTTCTCTACAAAGAATCTTATCAGCTATACAAAAATCTGTACAGTTTAACCTTTTGATGAATTCCCTTTCTTTAAGTGGTTGTGCCATTTATAATCCTAGTCATAGTGTATCAGGTAACAATTTTTCTACATTCTTACTAATGCTTATTATGTCTCTTTTATTTTAGTCCTTGTAGTGGGTGTGAAGTGGTATTCTATGTAGGTTTGCTTCGTGTTTCCCAAATGACTGCTGTCAAAACAAATCTCTAACACAGAGTACAGCTCATAACTTTTGGTATCATGTATGTCATATTTTCTATTTTCTTATATTCTTTACAATTGTATTTTTTAAATGCTGATTATCAGGTCCTTCTAAATTATATCATAACCCTAAATGATTCAGTCCACAGTCCAAAAAATTCCCTGGGCTTGATGATATATAAGGATCTTTCCAGATCTAACAAAATAGTGCTGTACATGGTATGTTTGTCCTAAATGCTTCATAAACATTTTTCATTTAGTATTTATAAAAACCCTTTGAATCAGGCGTCAATAGCCCATTTTGTGTACATGTAAACTCAAAATCAAATAAATAAAATAGCTGTGTTTTTAATCAGTTTGTCTCTGAGACGCTCATTAAATGTGGTTTCAAGCTTATAGATTGGAACTGGTAAATTACCTGGATTTTTATGAACTAACATTGGCGGAAAATGATCAAAAGATTGCTAAAACTAAATTCATGCTGTTACATACTTTGTGAAAATAAAGTCTAGCTATCTTCAGTTGATCCTTTCACACTTAGGTGGTCTCATTGTCCCCCAGGTCAGCCATTTGAATGTTCTTAGCTCAGCCATTTTGATAACTTTCACTTTGACTAAATAAGTAATGTCTTTTAATATACACACTCATCTATTTGGTCAGTTATTGTAAAGTTTTAAATTTTTTCTGTCTATACTGGTAATGTATGTCTATTATAGAATATTGGAAAGTGGTGAGAAAAAAATACAAATACTAGAAAATCCCAACATCAAAGATAAGTTTTTAGCTTTATGGTCTATACATTTCTAGTCCTTCTTTGAACATAACTGGACTCATTCTGTGCATAATGGTCTATAAACCAGAAAACTATATTCATGCATTATATATGAATATAATACATGAGTAAGAATGCTTCTTTGGGGGTCAGTAAGTGGCATGGTGCTTAAGGTGACTGGATCCCAAATGGCCAACTGAAATGTTCAAGTCCCAGATTCTGCAGCTTGAATGACACTCCCGGTACATGTGTGTGCATGCTAAAAATTCCAAGAGAAAAATAGAGAAGGGATTGCAGTGTGGCCAACTACTTCAAGAGAGATTTTTCATTCCCCCTCTCTCTCTTCCTGTCTCTCTCTGGAGAGTGTACATATCCTATAGCAAATAATAATAATAAAAAGAATATTTACTTTTTACTTTATCCTGAGTTTAGCCCCTATCAGTGATGGATCACTCTTGACCATTGAATTTGTTACCTATGTGTGATTTTTCTAAATTAAGATAAAGTTAAATTTTTCAGTTTCTAAATATTGTCAGTCTCTGAATTATGCCAGTTTCATCTCAGACAAAACTCTTAAGATTCCCTAATATTTGGGGCTACCAGGTGGCGTGGTGGTTAAAGGTGCTGGACTCCCACATGACCAACCATGGTTTGAGTCCCAAACCTGGTGACTTGCTTTCTCACTTTCTTGCTCTCTCTCTCTCATCAAACTGGAAAATAATATAATACTAATAAATAAAGTTAAATAAAAGTAATTCTTTAGCAAAAAAGATTCCCTAAAATTCTCACTTGTTTACTAATCCCTGTATCTATTCTGATCCTCTCTAATTCTGCCCATCTTCTATGCCTCTCTTTTCTTTGAGGGATTATAAAAATTATTTTAAATAGGAACAACGTTATATCTCTGCTACATTTAGCTATCTTTTTTTTCACCAATGTTAGTTGGTAACAATCCAGATAATTTACCAATTTGAATCTGTAAGCTTGAAACCACATTAAATGACCATCTCAGAGACACTATTTAAAAGCTTGTGATATATGAAAAGGAAAGAGTAGAGTCAAAAGCCAGCCTGCAGTAATTTTTAAAAGTTAATAAAGTTCTTGTATTCATGTTGGATTGTATAAGATCCTGAGAGCAGGAATTGCTTTTAACATGACCTTCTTCCTGGCACACAAGATATTCAGTAGATGTTTTCTAGATGATTATGAGCTGATCCCATCTCATCTCTTTTCCCTCCACCCACCTGAAGGCAGAAGTCACATGATGGTAAAATTGACATTTCATCACATGTAGTTGGTAGCACACACACACATGTGTGCCTAAGGTGGTAATGTCTTTTCCCATTTATTTAATAACCATTCATTGAATTCTTATATAAACCTATCTCTATCCTATTCAAAACCATTAGAAGACTGTGTCCTTCCCTCACTGAACTTGGAGCTTCATCGTGCAGGCAGAAGCTTTTCACGTTAAGCATTAGAGAACACTCACAGAGAAGAGGAAGTGAAAGATGAGATAGATTTTTTTCTTTGTATAAAACTTATGCCATGACTGTTTGTCATATTTATTGTATTTGGATACATAGCTCATGGGAATATTCAGTGCAAAGTGGATTGAATTCAAAATGACTCACCTCAGTGGGAAAGGTTGAAGTAGATTACAATTACAGAAAGGGGTATATTTTCACTGAACTAGAAAAGAAAAACTACACATAAAGGGAAAGGAAAAACACATCCAGTGCCTTGCTCTGACTGGATCTAACTCTAATGGGGACATTTTGGATTGCTATTTTAAAAGTCTTAGTACATACGCTGTTTATTGATATATTACAATTATGCTTTAAAGATGTTATGTATTTGTTATTTTATATATTAGAAGGCCAAATATTTTTCTAAAGAAACAGAGATAAAATTTTAAAACAAAAATCTGTCATAAATTGTTATTAAAATAAATTTAAAAATGAAATTACCTTTTAAATTATTACATAATTTGAGGTATAATTTTTTGAAATATTAAGCATATTTTACCCTTTTTGGCACTCCTTGACTATATACTTAGGTTGCTTCATTGATTATGCTTTTCTCTTCAACTTTTCAGGTTCAAATTCAGAGACCACTTTAACTTCTCTTTTTTAATCTCATATGTTATCAGGAAATGTTTTGAATTTTAAAATTCCCTTTAAATGTTACTTTTAATCCCTAAAAACTCTCCTTTTGGAATTATTTGTCCTTCTTACAAGGCATACAACATCCATATTTTTAAATCTTTTTTTTCCATAAAGAAAATATGGTTTTCATCCCAAAGTATTACCTATGTTAGTCTACCATTTCCGTCCTTGAGAATGAACCACTCAACTCTTAGAATCACTATACTAAATGTGTCTAATAAATGAAGTAATAAGGGCTTTCTCACTATTATCTCGCTGACATTAGACCTTTCCACAGGTTACAGGGACTGATTTGGGATAATGGAACAAATCCGTGGAGAAAACCATCTCAGTATGTAGACTGTGTAAATGGATTATCTTATGGATTGAAGCCTGTGGTTTTCAGGCTGATGTCCAGACACCAGATGGCTTTAAAAATCTTTTCATCCAGAACACTAGCAGCCTGCTTTAGTCACATTGCTCTTGCTAATATTTGTAGAGCATCTATGTGGTCCCCAGTGCATGCACTTATTATTCTATTATGCGGGCATTATTCCTTTTGAAGCAGCATCACATGGCTCCTGGGCTATGTTGGTATCGGTGACATTAATCACTATTTGTCCGGCCTTAGGGTGGAAAGTTCCTAGATCATCATCTTCTAAGGACTTTCAGACAGCATTTTCATGACGATGAAGAAATGACTTAGCACCATCAGGATTTTCAAAATTATTTTCTCAGCAGTACTTCTCTCTCAAATTACATGTTAATAAAAGGCAGTTCTAGTTGCTAAGAATTCAACAGATTTTGCTTCATAAAATACTGATGAAACTCTGGGCATATGAGGAGCTAGCACAGAAACTTTCTTGTCATTTTTCAAAACCACATAGGCTAACCTTGAATGTTAAGAATGGCTTTATGGGAGCTGTTCATTTTAAGGATTCCAAATATTCCTTAAACATCACATGTGTGTTTTTATCTTCCTCTTTTTGTTTCCTCCTGATTGATCTTGAACAAGAATTTTCTTTCTTTATAGGGATATGGTTAGACTCGCAATGCTGCTCTTTTGAATACCACTCTATACAAAGTGTTGAAATAACAAAAAGAGACTTTCTTTGCATCTTTAATTAGCTTTGATTGTAAAATCTTTGCATTAAAAATTGTTATCGTATCATTTAAAGTTAAATTTGTAATCTCGCTACTCTCTTATGTACTGGAGTTCTGAATTTACCTAAGTTGACAAAGAAATGAAATTTTGCAGCTTTTGTCTGACGTGCATGCTGTTTATGATTTTAGGGATTATATTCATTTTCAGCATTAAATTCATAGAATAAGCAAAATGTCAAACTTTGTTTACTAATTTTATACTTATCTGTTCTTTTAATATCCTGTCTTGGTTCTCTAGTTATAACATAGATGAACCTAAAGTTTGCTAGAAACATTTGCCATTAGCTTCTTCTAAAAAAAAATTAAATTTGAGGATAATCCTACCTCCAGAGCTTATTCTGTTCCTGGCCATTGACTGTGACAGTGGAAGGCTCATCTGAAAGCACCGGAGCATCCCATCTAAAAGCATAAAACATATTACATTTCATGAAAAAGCTAATTCAGATTGTTTAATTCTGGTAATATTGCCTCTGTCACCTTCAAAATCAAAATGTTCTTTCCTGTTATTATAAGGAAAACAACCAAATTGCTAAAAAACCCATTTGAATACACAGCTGCCTTATGTTGCATACTAATTTGATTAAAAACGCTCGTGCCTCACCAGCATTTTTACATAGAACACATTGGTGAATTTAACAAAGACTATTTTAAAAATATATCTGAGGAGGTTTGGATGACCAGAGTCCACAGCAGTGACCACTGCCCCCCCCTCCCCCCGGACTGAGCAAAAATCTTTCTGGCTGTCTTGGAAGGCATGAAACAATTGTCGAGCTATATTTGTTTGCTCACTGCTTTGGGCACTGAGCCAACCTCATTGCAAATAACTGCATTAGTCAAGTGTATCCAAATTATTACAACACAGCGTCCATCCCAGTTATTGCTGTTGAAGCATTTTCTGAATCTTCCTGTCACTAGAAAACATTTATTTGAGGGGTTGAGTGTCACATAAATTCAGGTCACTTGGATTTATATAAAAGCAAGGAGACTACTTTCTCAAGTGGCTTTATTTTCCCAATCTCTACAAGAAGAATCCTTTAAAGTACTGATTGTTAGGATCTCATTAAGTCTGAAGAGTTTTGGAGCCTCAATAGGATATTTGCCATCCTGTATTATTTTCTTTTATTTCTTTCTTTCTTGAGGTGATTTTTATCCAGTGTTAATATTTACCTACATTTTAACTGACTTTAACTTTTGTTTCTAATAATAAATGTAAAAGTTATGTAATTAAATAGATTAAGCTTTTTGAAACCTTATTCTATATCCTGTAGGTGAACCACAAGCTAAGTCTGTACAGGGAAAAAGTTCCAGATCTTTCTGGATGACCATTCTGGTGAATTCTAACATGAACACATTCGCCAAATGCATCATTACTCTCAAGCAATAAGATATGTTATTGTAGAAGACACGTTAGCTCCGTAATCCACAAGATTGCTAACTAGATATCATAAAAGTGGATCTGACATAAACCATGTTGACTTGTTTAGGCTTCTAGGTTAACTCTGCATTGCATGGTATCTGGTACTTGTTTGTGTGTTTTAGTTTACAGACCTATTTTATTACTTATTTATTTTACTTTTCTTTCTAAATTTATTCTTCTGTATCATTTAGTCCACTGAGTACTGCAGATTGCTCCTTGGAACCTTTAATTACTAATTTCACTATTGATATTATGAAAATAATGTCTGTCATCTATCTTTCAAGACTATTCAGAAGACTAATGAGAAAATATTTATAAGCTATTTAAAATTTAACTTTAATGTTTAGCATCATTTTGCCATTTAACACACTGGAAAATAAAGTGAACATATGAGAAAATAAGCCCACAAAGGCTTGCAGGTGGTAGTTAGTAAAGGTACTGGACTGCCACATGGCCAGCTGTTGTGCGAGTAGCTGACCTGGAAGCTTGCTTTCTCATGTTCTCTTTCTCTCTCTCATGAGTGCATGTACCCTATTGAAAAACTTGTAAAAACAATAACGATAACTAAAATTAAATATATAATTGTTTTAAAAATAATAACAATAAAATAAATCCAGCTATATTTCTCTGAAAAACTACAATGTATAAAATAGCTGTGTTCCCATAGAGTTTTCATTCTTTTTTTTTTCTCTAGGGCGTGTGCACTCACCAGACAGACAGAGAGAGACAGAGAGACAGAAAGTGAGAAATCACCTCCCCCAGGGGGGATGGCCACGCCGCAATCCCTTCTCCTCCATTCTCCTCTCAGGATCTTGGGGATGCACTCACACGTGCCCAGCATGAGTTTAAGCCACCAGGTCCGGGACTTGAACCGCGGTCAACTACATGGGAGTCCAGTGACATAGCCATTATGCTAACTGCTGGTCCCACCATAGAGTTTTAATTCTTTTAAAAACTATTTAGTATATTTAGTATGAAGTATGAATTAACAAATACACAATGTGTGTCTTAAGTTCTATTCTTGTAATATTTTATAATATTCTTATAATAATTTTTAGAAACCTTTCTGGAAAATAATTCTGTGAGAATAAACATAATTAAGAGTTCCTGGATTCTTCTATCTGCCTCCTTATTAAAAAGTGTGATTCACCTATGTTTAATAGAAATCTTATCTCTCAACAATATTTATAAGCACTCAGTCTGTTAAATATTCTGCGAGTTCTAGAGTCTTAAAGAGTAAATGCTCTTTTGAAATAAATAAATAAATAAATAAATTATATGTTTATATATATATATATATTTAGAGAAAGAGAGGGAGAAAGAAAGAATACATACACCATGTTGGGGACTTTATGTAAAATGTGAAACTAATATTTAAAAAAAAGAATAAATGCCAAACAGTTGCAAATAGTTAGGTAAAACATACTGCAACTATAAAATAAAATATAAAGATGACTTATTTTATTTTATTTTAGAGATTTTTGCTATAGGGTGCGTGTTCTCTCCAGAGAGACAGAGAGATAGAAAATGAGAAATCACCCCTTGGGTGGATGGCCATGCCACAATCCTTTCTACTCCATTCTCTTCTTGGGATTTTGGGCATACATGCACAGGTGCTCAGAGTAAGTTTAAGCCCTGGATCTGGGACTTGAACCACTGTTGACTTTTAGGGAGTCCAGTGATGTAACCATTATGCCATCTACTTGTCCCAAAGATGACTGTTTCAAACTATAAATTCTGAGCTAAGAAGTGCCATGAAAATTTCATTGATATATTTTAAAGTGACGAAAGTTTATACACAAGATAAAAATGATAATCATTTAGTTTAACATATATAGGTAATTATACTATACACAAGTTTTAAACTACATTAAATCAAATACATGCAAGGAGACATTAAAAAATTCATGGAAATATATCATTAAAGCTTAAGTTTATGTTGGTAAAAGAATGAATTAATAAATAACCTTTTGAAATCCATGCATAGTTTTTTTGGTTGTTGTTGTTTTGTTTTGTCTTAATAATATACTTTTTTTTTTTTGCATAGGTGCTTTTTTTCCCCATAGGTCCTATGTGTTCTCCCAAGAGACAGAGAGGGAGAAAGTAGAAGTCACCCACTAGGGGGATGGTCATGCCCACTCCCTTCTCCATTCTCCTCTTGGGATTTTAGGCATGCACTTATATGCACCCAGTGTGATTTTCAAGCTGACTGTTCTGGTACCTGAACCATGTTCAACCATGTGGGATTCTAGTGCTGTAACTACCATACCACCTGCTGGCCCCATAATACATATTTTTTCATGAATTTTTTAAGGCCCTCTTTATATATCTTTGTATATACATTTGTTATGTGTGTATATTTATATAAAATGCAAATTTTAAATAAATTTGCTATTGAGTTTTAGGGATTTTTTGTTTTTTAGATTTTTGCCTTAAGGCATGTACGCTTGCCAGGGAGAGAGACAGAGACAGTGGGAGGGAAGGTGAAAATTCATCCCTTAGGGAAGATGGCCACACAATAATCCCTTCTCCATTCTCCTTCTGGGATCTTAGGTACACTCATGCATGCATCTAGTGTGCAGTTCAAACTATCAGGTCCAGGACTTGAACTGTGATCAGCTATATGGGAGTCCAGTGATGTCACTGCTATACCATATGCTGGCCCCGAGTTATAGGGATTGTTTATTACTCATTTACATATTATAACTTTTCTTGTTTTCTAGATATTTTTATAACTTTGTATGATTTCATACATTAACATACTAAATACCAGTTAGTTTTATAAAATCTTATTGTGAGGTTATTAAAGAAGCCAATACACTATCTTTGAATTAGGTGATTTATCCTACAGCAAACTTTGCTTTTAATTGTTCCTCTACATTTTTGTGTCTCAGTTTTAGAGCAAATTATTATTAGGTTTGAATTGTGATAGACTTTCTTAATCATTTTCTTGTTAGTTTATTAGAATCTAATGTCAGTTAAATTTTCAAATTTATCTCTAAACGTTACACTATAGTAATTTATTTAGATGACATTTTGTGGTAGGGTAGTGTTAGAGTTCCTTTTCTTTTTTTTTTTAAAGAGATTTTTCTATGCTGTGTGCACTCACCAAACAGAGAGAGACAGAGAGACAGAAAGTGAGAAATCATCCCCTGGTAGGATGCCTACACCACAATCCCTTCTACTCCATTCTCCTCTTGGGATTTTGGGCATGCATGCACACACAACTGGCATGAGTTTTAAACCACTGGGTCCATGACTCAAACTGTGTTCAACTATATGGGAGTCCAGTGACATAACCTTTACACCACCCACTGATCCTCAGGGTTATTTTTCTAAGATTTAGCAATTCTTATAATATTTTTTGAAAATGTTTCCAAAGTTGAGAACTTTACTATAGACTCTATAAAGGATTGAGATATCTCTGAAATTTTAATGTTATTTTAAAGACTTATTCTTTCCCATTATCTATTTTTCTGCCTTTTCTCTTTACAAAGATGAAGCTATCTTTAAATCTATAATTGACAGCTTCCACCTAGATAAAAATAGATGAAAATAATTCACACAGTCAGGCTACAGGAAAAACATTCAAAGAGACAGCCTCCAAAAATAATTTTTGTCCAAAGCCATCTGTAAATGAAAATACAGTTATGAAGCAAATAAGTTGGAAAATTGCTACATGTATTATAACTATTTTTTATACTATAGTTTATTTTATGTTTGTGAAAATTTTTATGAATGATCCTATTTCATAATACAAAAAAAAATATTCTTGTGCTAGAGCAGTTTCTTTCTTCCTTTCTTTCTTTCTCTCTCTCTTTTTTTTTTTTTTTTGAGAGAGAGATTTTTGCTATAGGATACATGCACTAACCGAAGACACAGAGAAAGACAGACAGAAAGCAAGAAATCACCCTCCAGGGGGGAGATGGCTATGCCAAAATTTATTCTCCTCCATTCTCCTCTTAGGATTTTGAGCAAGCAT